CAGGGAGGGGTGGAATTTGCACTCACCTCCCCCTAGGTATTTCCCAGGAAATCCACTTCGCACATAGTATCCCAAAAGACCTTTCTTCTCTGCCACATTGTTCAATAGAGTCCTTTGATCATCCAGGCCCACAATAATACATAAACTTTGCATTGAATACAATGGACTCCAAAGATCCTTCAACCTAATTCAACAAGATTTTTCCAGGATATTGCCACATCTGTCACACCCACCATTGCTAACACTGGGTTAGCAGCATTGGAAGCCATAGGGCTAGTCTACACTGGCAATGCTAAAGTGCTGCCATGGAAGTGCTTTAACGTGGCTTGTGTGGTCGCAGCGCAGCTCTGGGAGAGAGGTCTCTCAGTGCTGTAAAAAACCACCTCCACAAGGGGCGTAGCTCCCAGCGCTGGTGTACTGTCTACACTGGCTGAAACTTGCTGTGCTCGGAGGGGTGGGGGGGTGTTTTTTCACACCCCGGAGCGAGAAAGTTGCAGCGCTGTAAATTGCCAGTGTAGACAAGCCCATAGTTTAGCTGGCTCTCTGACTTGTTCTGAGTGGGTTTATTTGACATGGTGCTGAAAATGGCTACTAGAGCCAGATAGCACCATTGGGAGCCCCAGTGCAGATGGATAATAGAGACTCAACTGAACTGATGCTAACTCTGGTATCTTACAAACCATTTTTACCTTAGTGTGGACAAGGCTTTAGGAATCACGGGAAACAGTGATTAGCTAAATTGGGGCAAATCATGACTTGCCCTTGTCTACACGTAGGGCCCCTGATGATGATCTGCACCAGTTCCTGAATCAGGTAATATTGTGCATAGACAAGGCCTTCCACTGTAAGCTCTTTAGGCAGGGATCTCCTTTATCTGCACGTCTTCTACGAGTTTGAGCACATGGTCAGCACTAAGCAAAATAAATAGCAACAATACATATAATGCACTTTTAGTTTGTAAATCCTTTTTCATACAAGCTGTATCTCAAAGTGTTATATTAGTCAGTACTATTAAAATTATAACAGAGGTTGTTCTTAGTTCTGTTATTCAACAAATCCCAAGGCTCTGTTTACACACAAACTACATTGGCATAGTTAAAGCAGCACAAGCCTAATCATGGGGGGAGGGATAGTTCAGTGGTTTGAGCATTGGCTTGCTAAACCCAGGGTTGTGAGTTCAATCCTTGAGGGGGCCATTTAGGGATGTGGGCCAAAAATTGGGGATTGGACTAGGTGACCTCCTGAGGTCCCTTCCAACCCTGATATTCTATGTGGGCACAGTTATACTTGTCTAAAAGTACTTACAATAGCTTACTCTTATATGGGAAGGGGAATAAGCTCTATTGATAAAAAGGCACCTTATTCTGATATCATAGAATCATAGAATATCAGGGTTGGAAGGGACCCCTGAAGGTCATCTAGTCCAACCCCCCGCTCGAAGCAGGACCAATTCCCAGTTAAATCATCCTAGCCAGGGCTTTGTCAAGCCTGACCTTAAAAACCTCTAAGGAAGGAGATTCTACCACCTCCCTAGGTAACGCATTCCAGTGTTTCACCACCCTCTTAGTGAAAAAGTTTTTCCTAATATCCAATCTAAACCTCCCCCACTGCAACTTGAGACCATTACTCCTCGTTCTGTCATCTGCTACCATTGAGAACAGTCTAGAGCCATCCTCTTTGGAACCCCCTTTCAGGTAGTTGAAAGCAGCTATCAAATCCCCCCTCATTCTTCTCTTCTGCAGGCTAAACAATCCCAGCTCCCTCAGCCTCTCCTCATAAGTCATGTGTTCTAGACCCCTAATCATTTTTGTTGCCCTTCGCTGGACTCTCTCCAATTTATCCACATCCGTCTTGTAGTGTGGGGCCCAAAACTGGACACAGTACTCCAGATGAGGCCTCACCAATGTTGAATAGAGGGGAACGATCACGTCCCTCGATCTGCTCGCTATGCCCCTACTTATACATCCCAAAATGCCATTGGCCTTCTTGGCAACAAGGGCACACTGCTGACTCATATCCAGCTTCTCGTCCACTGTCACCCCTAGGTCCTTTTCCGCAGAACTGCTGCCTAGCCATTCGGTCCCTAGTCTGTAGCTGTGCATTGGGTTCTTCCGTCCTAAGTGCAGGACCCTGCACTTATCCTTATTGAACCTCATCAGATTTCTTTTGGCCCAATCCTCCAATTTGTCTAGGTCCTTCTGTATCCTATCCCTCCCCTCCAGCGTATCTACCACTCCTCCCAGTTTAGTATCATCCGCAAATTTGCTGAGAGTGCAATCCACACCATCCTCCAGATCATTTATGAAGATATTGAACAAAACCGGCCCCAGGACCGACCCTTGGGGCACTCCACTTGATACTGGCTGCCAACTAGACATGGAGCCATTGATCACTACCCGTTGAGCCCGACAATCTAGCCAGCTTTCTACCCACCTTATAGTGCATTCATCCAGCCCATACTTCCTTAACTTGCTGACAAGAATACTGTGGGAGACCGTGTCAAAAGCTTTGCTAAAGTCAAGAAACAATACATCCACTGCTTTCCCTTCATCCACAGAACCAGTAATCTCATCATAAAAGGCGATTAGATTAGTCAGGCATGACCTTCCCTTGGTGAATCCATGCTGGCTGTTCCTGATCACTTTCCTCTCATGCAAGTGCTTCAGGATTGATTCTTTGAGGACCTGCTCCATGATTTTTCCAGGGACTGAGGTGAGGCTGACTGGCCTGTAGTTCCCAGGATCCTCCTTCTTCCCTTTTTTAAAGATTGGCACTACATTAGCCTTTTTCCAGTCATATAATTGAGTCCTCTCTAGGAGTTGTACTGATTTAACTGTTTTGATTAAAAATACAAATCACCTCCTCCTGGAATAACATAGTTATACTGGTACAAAAACTATGTATAGACCAGGCCTTAGTTTACCGAGATATTTATCTTGTTTGCATGGCCTTCTGCCTTCATTCTGAATTTGTGGCCAGTCCTCAAGCCCATTGTAATGTTAAATTCTCTGACTCTACTTCAAAAGTTTACCTCAAAGGATTTTTTCTTCATGTTTTGGTGCTCTTGGGCGCAGTGGTACAGATAAAGGACAATACATTGTATTTATGTAAGAACTCTGTAGATAAAGTACTTGTGCTATGCATCTGATTTTAAGTTTTGGAAGAATTCTAAGCAGCAGCGTAATTAAGGAGGAACGTATAGATAAAATAAACCAATGACAATCCTTTTGAAAAGTAAACTTTCAAGCTTTACAAGCTCCCTGCTATTGTCACTTCTAGCTTTCTTCCTTTTGAAAGCACTTTGACTCTTTAGAGTGGGAGATGTTATACAACATAGGGAATTGCTTTGATTTGGTGGACATCCACTGTTGTAGCTGGCCCAGTGCAGACCAGATAAATGTCTAAAACCTGTAATTTGCATGGTGCTGTTTACCACTGCTTGAAACTCAGGAAAATTGCACTGGGGCAAATGGAAGTTTATTTCAGTTTATCTTAGAGATTTCCCCCCTGTAACTAGTGGGAACTGGGTACCACTGCCTGAAAATCAGGACAAATCCTTGGTGTAGATAAGGCTGGTATTTTCCATTAAATGCTTTAGATTCCAGCTCATCAGTATAGCCAAGACTAGGGATTGGCAACCTTTGGCACGCGGCCAGCCAGGGTATGCTCCTGGCGGGCCGGACCGGTTTGTTTATCTGCAACGTCTGCAAGTTCAGCCGATTGCAGCTCCCACTGGCCGCGGTTCGCCACTGCAGACCAATGGGGGCTGTGGGAAGGGCGGCCAGCACATCCCTCGGCCCGCATCACTTCCTGCAGCCCCCATTGTCCTGGAGCGGCGAACCGCGGCCAGTGGGAGCTGCGATCGGCCGAACCTGCGGATGCGGCAGGTAAACAAACCGGCCCAGCCCGCCAGGGGGCTTACCCTGGCAGGCTGCGTGCCAAAGGTTGCTGATCCCTGGCCAAGACCATTCAGTGTCATCAGTTTGCCACTATATTAACCAGGATTTGAAAACAAGTGATCTGGGTTTCTTCAAGCTGAGGATGAAATCACCACAGCAGAAGCATGTTTCCTACTTTATTATTCATGTTTCAGTAGCTCCTAGGAGTCATCAGTCAAAGATCATAGTCCCACTCTAGCAGACACTGTGCACACTTGTAACAAAAAGACAGTTTTTACTCCAAAGAGCTTCTAGTCTAAGATCTACAGTATGTTTTACTGATGTAACCAGATTGGTGCAACTCCCTTGTGTTGACACTCTTAGGGTATGTCTACACTACGAAATTAGGTCGAATTTATAGAAGTCGGTTTTTTAGAAATCGGTTTTATATATTCGAGTGTGTGTGTCCCCACAGAAAATGCTCTAAGTGCATTAAGTGCATTAACTCGGCGGAGCGCTTCCACAGTACCGAGGCAAGCGTCGACTTCCGGAGCGTTGCACTGTGGGTAGCTATCCCACAGTTCCCGCAGTCTCCGCTGCCCATTGGAATTCTGGGTTGAGATCCCAATGCCTGATGGGGCTAAAACATTGTCGCGGGTGGTTCTGGGTACATATCGTCAGCCCCCCGTTCCCTCCCTCCCCCCCCGTGAAAGCAAGGGTAGACAATCATTTCGCGCCTTTTTTCCTGAGTTACCTGTGCAGACGCCATACCACGGCAAGCATGGAGCCCGCTCAGCTCACTTTGGCAATTAGGAGCACATTAACCACCACACGCATTATCCAGCAGTATATGCAGCACCAGAACATGGCAACGCGATACCGGGCGAGGAGGCGACGTCAGCGCGGTCCCGTGAGTGATCAGGACATGGACACAGATTTCTCTGAAAGCATGGGCCCTGACAATGCATGCATCATGGTGCTAATGGGGCAGGTTCATGCTGTGGAACGCCGATTCTGGGCTCGGGAAACAAGCACAGACTGGTGGGACCGCATAGTGTTGCAGGTCTGGGACGATTCCCAGTGGCTGCGAAACTTTCGCATGCGTAGGGGCACTTTCATGGAACTTTGTGACTTGCTTTCCCCTGCCCTGAAGCGCATGAATACCAAGATGAGAGCAGCCCTCACAGTAGAGAAGCGAGTGGCGATAGCCCTGTGGAAGCTTGCAACGCCAGACAGCTACCGGTCAGTTGGGAATCAATTTGGAGTGGGCAAATCTACTGTGGGGGCTGCTGTGATGCAAGTAGCCCACGCAATCAAAGATCTGCTGATATCAAGGGTAGTGACCCTGGGAAATGTGCAGGTCATAGTGGATGGCTTTGCTGCAATGGGATTCCCTAACTGTGGTGGGGCTATAGACGGAACCCATATCCCTATCTTGGCACCGAGCACCAAGCCGCCGAGTACATAAACCGCAAGGGGTACTTTTCAATAGTGCTGCAAGCTCTGGTGGATCACAAGGGACGTTTCACCAACATCAACGTGGGATGGCCGGGAAAGGTGCATGATACTCGCATCTTCAGGAACTCTGGTCTGTTTCAAAAGCTGCAGGAAGGGACTTTATTCCCAGACCAGAAAATAACTGTTGGGGATGTTGAAATGCCTATAGTTATCCTTGGGGACCCAGCCTACCCCTTAATGCCATGGCTCATGAAGCCGTACACAGGCAGCCTGGACAGTAGTCAGGAGCTGTTTAACTACAGGCTGAGCAAGTGCAGAATGGTGGTAGAATGTGCATTTGGACGTTTAAAGGCACGCTGGCGCAGTTTACTGACTCACTTAGACCTCAGCGAAACCAATATTCCCACTGTTATTACTGCTTGCTGTGTGCTCCACAATATCTGTGAGAGTAAGGGGGAGATGTTTATGGCGGGGTGGGAGGTTGAGGCAAATCGCCTAGCTGCTGGTTACGCGCAGCCAGACACCAGGGCAGTTAGAAGAGCACAGGAGGGCGCGGTACCCATCAGAGAAGCTTTGAAAACCAGTTTCATGACTGGCCAGGCTACGGTGTGAAAGTTCTGTTTGTTTCTCCTTGATGAACCCCCCACCCCTTGGTTCACTCTACTTCCCTGTAAGCTAACCACCCTCCCCTCCTCCCTTTAATCATTGCTTGCAGAGGCAATAAAGTCATTGCTGCTTCACAGTCATGCATTCGTTATTCATTCATCACACAAATAGGGAGATGACTACCAAGGTATCCCAGGAGGGGTGGTGGAGGAGGGAAGGAAAATGCCACACAGCACTTTAAGCACAGCACTTTAAAAGTTTACAACTTTAAAATTTATTGAATGACAGCCTTCTTTTTTTTGGGCAATCCTCTGTGGTGGAGTGGCTGGTTGGCCGGAGGCCCCCCCACCGCGTTCTTGGGCGTCTGGGTGTGGAGACTATGGAACTTGGAGAGGAGGGCGGTTGGTTACAGAGGGGCAGCAGTGGCAGTCTGTGCTCCAGCTGCCTTTGCTGCAGCTCAACCATACACTGGAGCATACTGGTTTGGTCCTGCAGCAGCCTCAGCATTGAATCCTGCCTCCTCTCATCACGCTGCCGCCACATTTGAGCTTCAGCCCTGTCTTCAGCCCGCCACTTACTCTCTTCATCCCTCCACCTCTCCTCCCGGTCATTTTGTGCTTTCCTGCACTCTGACATTATTTGCCTCCACGCATTCGTCTGTGCTCTGTCAGTGTGGGAGGACAGCATGAGCTTGGAGAACATTTCATCGCGAGTGCGTTTTTTTTTCTTTCTAAGCTTCACTAGCCTCTGGGAAGGAGAAGATCCTGTGATCATTGAAACACATGCAGCTGGTGAAGAAAAAAAAAAGGGACAGCGGTATTTAAAAAGACACATTTTATAAAACAGTCGCTACACTCTTTCAGGGTAAACCTTGCTGTTAACATTACATACATAGCACATGTGCTTTCGTTACAAGGTCGCATTTTGCCTCCTCCCATCGCGTGAACGGATTTTGGTTGAATGCCAGCAAACACACACTGCCATGCTTTGTTCTACAGTGATTCCCGAGTACGTGTTACTGGCCTGGAGTGGTAAAGTGTCCTACCATGAAGGACGCAATAAGGCTGCCCTCCCCAGAAACCTTTTGCAAAGGCTTTAGGACTACATCTAGGAGAACCGCAAATGCCAGGGCAAAGTAATCCTTTCACATGCTTGCTTTTAAACCATGTATAGCATTTTAAAAGGTACACTCACCAGAGGTCCCTTCTCCGCCTGCTGGGTCCAGGAGGCAGCCTTGGGTGGGTTCGGGGGGTACTGGCTCCAGGTCTAGGGTGAGAAACAGTTCCTGGCTGTCGGGAAAACCGGTTTCTCCGCTTGCTTGCTGTGAGCTATCTACAACCTCCTCCTCCTCATCATCTTCTTCGTCCCCAAAACCTACTTCCGTATTGCCTCCATCTCCATTGAAGGAGTCAAACAGCACGGCTGGGGTAGTGGTGGCTGAACCCCCTAAAATGGCATGCAGCTCATCATAGAAACGGCATGTTTGGGGCTCTGACCCAGAGCGGCTGTTCGCCTCTCTGGTTTTCTGGTAGGCTTGCCTCAGCTCCTTCAGTTTCACGCGGCACTGCTTCGGGTCCCTGTTATGGCCTCTGTCCTTCATGCCCTGGGAGATTTTCAGAAAGGTTTTGGCATTTCGAAAACTGGAACGGAGTTCTGATAGCACGGATTCCTCTCCCCAAACAGCGATCAGATCCCGTACCTCCCGTTCGGTCCATGCTGGAGCTCTTTTGCGATTCTGGGACTCCATCATGGTCACCTGTGCTGATGAGCTCTGCATGGTCACCTGCAGCTTGCCACGCTGGCCAAACAGGAAATGAGATTCAAAAGTTCGCGGTTCTTTTCCTGTCTACCTGGCCAGTGCATCTGAGTTGAGAGTGCTGTCCAGAGCGGTCAGAATGGAGCACTCTGGGATAGCTCCCGGAGGCCAATACCATCGAATTGTGTCCACAGTACCCCAAATTCGAGCTGGCAACGTCGATTTAAGCGCTAATCCACTTGTCAGGGGTGGAGTAAGGAAATCGATTTTAAGAGCCCTTTAAGTCGAAATAAAGGGCTTCATTGTGTGGACGGGTGCAGGTTTAAATCGATTTAATGCTGCTAAATTCGACCTAAAGTCCTAGTATAGACCAGGGCTTAAAGTGGTTTAAGGCCTGATCTGCACAGATTTGTTCCAGTATAATTGCATTGATTAGGGGTGTGGTGTTTTTTTATAGTTACAGCGGTACAACCTGGGGTGCAGTTATCTTGGTATAATGCCTTATACTGGTATAGCTTATTCCCCTTCCCATATGGGAATACAATATACCAGTATAAACATGTTTATGAAGTGGGGGAAATGGGGTTGTATTGCTCAAAGTATACTAGTATAGTTACAGAGCCGTGCAAATTGTATGTGTAGACAAGGCCTAACAGTGCATTATATTGATTTAGATAAATCAGGCAAGTTGATATTAAGTGAACTGAGATGTATATTGATTGAGATTCTTAATGTATTAAATTAGAAAATTAAACTCGGCTCCAGGGTGGTTAATTTGGCATTTCACTAGCCCTGACCTCGCTTAGCTAAGCTAAATAAAATAATCTTTAAAAACACAGATCTGTTACTTTACTGTGATTTATAGAGCCATTTAAATAAGTGAGGTTATTCTGTTTCTTTCATCTTTTACTCCGGATGGGATCTTCCTTCTAACCAAAGTATCATCCAGGTACAGCTGACTTTCTTTCCACCTATACATATACAGTCTGTTAACTAGTTGTAGTGAGTCTTCAACCCATATGTCCCCCATTACCATAGCATCTGAGTACCCCACAGTCTTTAGTGCATGTGTCCTCACAACACCCCTGTGTGGTAGGAAATTGCTATTATCCCCTTTTCACAGATGGGAAACAGAGGCAGAGAGACAATTGCTATTATCCCCTTTTCACAGATGGGAAACAGAGGCAGAGAGACTAATTGACTTGCTCAAGGCAGAGCAGGGGATTGAACAGCTCCCAAGTCCTAGGCTAGCACCCTAACCATTGGACCTCTAAATTCAAAGTTTAAAACAAGATTTATGACCAAATTAATTCCTGATGTAATTCCATTGACTGCAGCGACTCCCTTTTTTGTGAAAATTATATTTGAATAGGATGATATTAAAAAAATCTGTTTACATTATGGAAATAATGCACTGACTTTATATTGTCTAAACCTTGTATTTCCCTAATCCCTCCCCTCCATTGTCAGATGTCAAACAACATCTCCCCCACCCCCACAACTTAGCATCTAATGAACATTTTGGAGAAAGGATGTCCATGTTATACATTCAACAGCCTGTATGTTGCAACCTGTCCCTGTTGGCTCTCTGGTGAGTGGACCCAATCACAAAATCCCATATACTTCTAAGCCATCTGGCTAGTAGCTGGTCCCTGTTCCTATCTCTGGGTCTCTCAGGCACATTCCCATGTCTGACCCCATTCTTGGGCAGTAGGGTTGCCAACTTTCCACTAGCACAAAACTGAACACCCTTGCTCCACTCCTGTCCCACCCTTCCTCCAAGGCCCTGCCCCTGCCCCAATTCTTCTCAGAAGCCGCTCCCCCCACTCACTCCATCTCCCTTCCCCCCCCCGGTCGCTCGCTCTCCCCACCCTTACTCACTCACTCATTTTCACTGGGCTGGCTCAGGGGGTTGGGATGCGAGAGCAGGTGAGGGCTCCATCCGGGGATGTGGGCTCTGGGGTGGGGCCAAGGATGAGGGGTTGGGGTGTAAGAGGGGGCTCTGGGCTGGGGGGTGGAGCCAAGGGGTTCAGAGTATGGGAGAGGGTTCCAGGCTGAGGCAGGGGGTGGAGGTGTGGGAGGGGGTGCGGGCTCTGGGCTGGGGCCAGGCATGAGGATTTGGGGTGCAGGAGGGGGCTCTGGGCTGGGACTGAGGGGTTCAGAGTGCAGGAAGGGGCTCTGGGCTGGAGCAGGGGGTTGGGGTGCGGGCATGTGTCCAGGGCTCTGGGAGCACCTAGGACTAGATGTTGGGAAAGCAGACAATGAGAAGAAAAAAAAAAAGCCAAGAAACTGGCACCCTGCACCTGCTAATTATGAGCTTAGTAGAACTGACTTAAGGGGCCTTGTTTCTGGTTGGGCCCCATTGGTGCTTTTTATAGCTGTACTTCTAGGTGATTGAATTTGCCTCTGGTTTATCATGTGTGCCAGATTTGGGGCACGATTCTGCAATTGGATCCACTTTGGTGGAAGGAACCACATCAAACTCATGCTTACCTACACGGATCCAGTTGGAGAATTGGGGCCTAAGATTATAAAGTCTTTGGAGAAGGGACTGTGACTTCCTTTATGTTTGTACAGCACCGAGCACACACAGATGGCACTCAGCAAATGATGGTGAGGAGGGTTATTACTGAACATATGTAGCACATAGGTGTGAGTAGGGTGCTAACCAGAGAAAAATCAAAACATGCTCCCTGCACAGAGGAGTTTACAAGGCAGGTAAATGAATGTAACTAATGCATGCTACTAATAAGAGCAAACCGTATTTGACACTGGGAATAAAAATTCTCCTCTAATCAGTTACTGTGCCACTTTTTAACTATTGGATAAAACTTGATGCCTTGAATCCCACATTAGCAGCATACACGCTTTGAGTCCAGCAGACAGAAAAAAGGTAATTGTTTTGTTTTGTATTTTTTGTGTTTTCCATGGCTTATAACAGTAGTAAGGACCTCTGAGTCTGGCACTTCCTTGCAGTGAATGGTTGGCAGCCTTCAGTGCCTCCAGCTGATCATTAGTTGCCAGGAAGTGCCAAAAAGAGAGGTCTTTACTGTATTAATGAGTCCCCGGAGCGTTAGCCCTCACATGCATAAAAAAAGCTTTATTCAGAGCAACTTTCAAAACTGCACACTTACAGTGGAGTCAAACAAGAGCATCCAATGGAAACAGTTATCAAATGACTTTGCTTAAAACTATAAAGTGAATTAAAAAACAAGGACACACTCATATTATATATATCCCAAAACTAAGGTGAAAAACATCTATTCTAAAAGTGCATGGAAATTCCCTGCTTCCTTCACTTCTTCAGTCAATAAACAACATAATTCTACAGTTTTATATGGTGAGAAAGAAAATAACGTAAGGAACAGCTGGAAAGTGCTCAGCTGATATCAATAATCATGGCTGAGTTAATGCATTGTTAATATAAAAACAGAAGGCCAGATTCTGATCTCTGATACCTTGTGTAAATCGAAAGTAGCTCTAGTGAATCAACAGAGATACTTCTGATTTACACTGGTGTCAAGGTTCCTCCCCCACTCTGAACTCTAGGGTACAGATGTGGGGACCTGCATGAAAAACCTCCTAAGCTTATCTTTACCAGCTTAGGTCAAAACTTCCCCAAGGTACAAAATATTCCACCCGTCATCCTTGGATTGGCCGCTGCTACCACCAAACTAATACTGGTTACTGGGGAAGAGCTGTTTGGACGCGTCTTTCCCCCCAAAATACTTCCCAAAACCTTGCACTCCACTTCCTGGACAAGGTTTGGTAAAAAGCCTCACCAATTTGCCTAGGTGACTACAGACCCAGACCCTTGGATCTGAGAACAATGAAAAAGCATTCAGTTTTTTACAAGAAGACTTTTAATAAAAAATAGAAGTAAATAGAAATAAAGAAATCCCCCCTGTAAAATCAGGATGGTAGATATCTTACAGGGTAATTAGATTCAAAAACATAGAGAACCCCTCTAGGCAAAACCTGAAGTTACAAAAAAGATACACAGACAGAATTAGTTATTCTATTCAGCACAATTCTTTTCTCAGCCATTTAAAGAAATCATAATCTAACACATGCCTAGCTAGATTACTTACTAAAAGTTCTAAGACTGCATTCCTGGTCTATCCCCGGCAGAAACCAGCATATAGACAGACACAGACCCTTTGTTTCTCTCCCTCCACCCAGCTTTTGAAAGTATCTTGTCTCCTCATTGGTCATTTTGGTCAGGTGCCAGCGAGGTTACCTTTAGCTTCTTAACCCTTTACAGGTGAGAGGAGCTTTCCCCTGGCCAGGAGGGATTTCAAAGGGGTTTACCCTTCCCTTTATATTTATGACAACTGGTATGACTGAGATCAGACTATGGCATAAAGAATACGACTAGTAGCACAATGCAGACAGCAGGGCAATATCATCTAAGCGGGGAATTTTTTTGACAATTTAGAAAATTATTTGCGTCTCAGGCTGACTCTGCAAATCCTTGCTCACTTCAGCTTTCATATCTATTGCATCAAAAGTACTGTTCAGCAAGTGAACAGGATAAAACCTGTAAGTCTTTTGTGAGTAATTACTTTGTGTGAAGTTGCTCTGTTATTTAGTATCGTGAAAGGTATTTTGCAATGAGATGCTTCAAAATGCCACAATAGGGTGTTCATTCCGTGGATATGAGAATTAAGCAATAAGAACGGCCATACTGGGTCAGACCAATGGTCCATCTAGTCCAATATATTGTCTGCTGACAGTGGCCAGTGCCAGATGCTTCAGAGAGAGTGAACAAAACAGGCAATTTTGAGTGACGCATCCCTGTCATCCAGTTCCAGCTTCTATCAACCAGCTGTTTAGGGACACTCGGAGCATGGGCTTGCGTCTCTGACCATCTTGGCTAATAGCCATTGATGGACCTATCCTCCATGAACTTATCTAATTCTTTTTTGAACCCAAGATGGTCAGGGATGCAACCCCATGGAGAAATCAACAGAGGTACATCAATTTATACGAGTTGATGAACTGATCCAGAGTTTGTAAAGAACTCTGATCTTCTCGGATGAAAGATGCCACATAAATGAAGAATGTGATTAAGATAAAACTGTCTCTATACCAGACCTTTTTCTAACTCCAAGATGAGGCTACAGGAGAAGAGTAACTTACATTATAAGCATCCCACGCTTATGAACAAAAGATTTGTGACCTTATTTCTAAGGCAAAATGAGCAATAAAAATAAGCAGCAATACTTCTACAGCATCTTGTGACTGAGGATCTGAAAGCATTTCACAACAATGAATTTTGCCTCTCAAGCCCCTCAGAAGTACCGATTGAGTAACAGAAATATGGAGATGTTAATAGACTCACCCAAGGTCGCACAGGAAAGTGG